TATATATATGTATATATATATATATATGTACGTATGTATTATAGAGGAGGAGGAAAGAAAAGAAAGAAAGAAAACAGAGAACAGAGCCTCCCAGGTATCTGCTGGTTACCACACACATACAGGTGGATTTTAACAGCCAAATGACACAAGGGTGCACGCTGCTCTAGCACCCTACTAGATTTAGAAGAATAACTTCTTCCCAAGGGTGTGGGGACCCTGTGTCGTGAGCACAGGACATTGGTAAATGGTGCACGGGGGTCAGATTATGGGAAACTGAAGCACATTTATCTTCATCCCATGACACATTCTGAAAAATTGTCTTTGATCAGTTCTCCTGTCATTTGTGTATTTGTCAATATGCCACCCCTCTCCCATCTTTACATTTGGGTGACTGGTAACTTAGATTCCAGAGTTAACTTGGTGTTAACTAGACCAACATCATCACAGACATTTTGGCCATGTTTGCGGGACCAGCTATTCATTTACTTTTTTTTTGTACTGGGGATTGAACCCACAAGTGCTTAACCACTGAGCCACATGCCCAGCCCTTTCTATTTTTTATTTTGAGATAGAGTCTCGCTAAGTCGCCCAGGCTGGCCTTCAATTTGCCATCTTTCTGCCAGTAGGCCTGTGCCCACCTCTAAGCCTATCTTTGTCCTGCCACCATATGACCAGAGTTGGCCTTCTTCCTTCCATTTTTCTTTTCTTTTTTTTTTTTTTGGCCCAGAGGGTGCCAGGGATTGAACTCAGGGGCACTTAACCACTGAGCCATATCCTCAGCCCTATTTATATTTTACTTAGAGGAAAAGTCTCACTGCGTTGCTTAGCACCTCCTTTTTTGCTGAGGCTGGCTTTGAATTCGCTATCCTCCTGCTTCAGCCTCCCAAGCCACTGGGATGACAGGTGTGCCACTGCGCCCGGCTCCTTCCATTTTTCTTTTAAGACGAGCACTAACCTTGCCCTGCCCTGAATCCAAAATGACTGAGACTTGGGTGAGTTTTTTCCTTTTAAATTGCCAGCTTTGGGCACAGAGCTTTATTTCATAGTTAAGTGACCCAGGACTGTTTCAGACTCTTGTAGCACAGGAATGAACAGATTTATTTATTTTTTTCCCCCAAACTTAGGTAGGGAATAAGGATTAGAATGTTACGTGCAAATTTTCATTCCACTGACAATAGTTTTAAAGATGACTTTTTTCTTAAATATTTGGGTTTTTTAGTTGTAGTTGGACACAATACCTCATTTCACTTATTTATTTTTATGTGGTGCTGAGGATGGAACCCAGGGTCTCACACATGCGAGGTGAGTGCTCTACGGCTGAGCCCCAGCCCCAGCCCATAAAGATGACTTTTAAAAGATGTAATAAAGCAGTTATTTCAAAAGTAGGAAAAATAATAGATTACATTATTAGAGTAGCTAGCCATTGTCCCCCCAAAGGTAACTTTGGAGATTTGGGACTCATGTGGAAGTCCAAAACTATTAAAACTGAAGCCAACACATACCCCTGGAGCACAACACCCCTCACCTGGCGATGCTGCGCAGTGGCCGCTGGTGGCTTGCCGGGGGCTTTTCTGACCTGGTAGTACTGTCCCCTCTTTGTAAGGTGGAAGGTCCCAGAGAGAAGATGGGTAGAGTGGAGTATGGCTTGGAGGGCAGCCGCATCTGTCACCCCAAATAAAACAGCGTGAGCGGTGCTGAGGCGGCAGGCAGTAAGCCGCCTCGGTCCAACTCAACCAGTGAAGCTTACCTTTTTGCAGCACTGTGAGCACACGGGCCTGCAGACAAAACCAGAAATATCAGTTGATGTACAACAGATGAGGCCATGAGCTACCAAGCTCGTGGCCAGCCCGTCTACCAGAACCTAACAAGTTGATGGTGTGGATGCCAAAGTGGCACCTGGAATGCTGAACTCCTACTTTGTCTTTCATAAAAGGACCAATTGATACCTCTTTGGAAGTTTTTTATCAGTCTACCCTGAATCCCATGGCAACCATACCTGCTTTTCTTTTTTCTTTTCCCATTCCTCCATGACATAGTATTAGAATTATCTTGCTTATGTAAAAGAAATAATGAGCCAACAGTTTCCCAGTTCAATACCAAGTCACTGTCTAGCCTACCCTTCATGGGAAACAGATGATTCTAACTGGCAGGGATGGCACAAGGGACCAGGGCAGAAGGGGCCGTTCCTAATATCCTGGGCCAAGAACGCAGAAACAGTGGAGGTGATGGTCATTTCTTTCATGACTGCTGATCTGATCTTTTCATCAATTCCAGGTTACCTTACCTCTTACAGAACTGGCAGGTGTAAGACCAGGTGAAGAAGGAAAACCTCCGGGTTCGGCAACAGAAGCAGAGCTAAAAAACACAAAATCAGAGAAAAGAAGCAGGGTTGACAGCTGCCCCGACAGCCCCGCCGGCTTGGCAGGTTTCATAGACAGGAGGGGAATCCAGAAGGCCTGTGGTCCTGGCAGGGCTTTACCCAGCTGCCGCAGGACGATACTGAAACACTCCCCTGCTCTTAGGCATTTCTGTACAGACCCTTTCCAAGTCTAGTGACTAACACAGTTATGAAGGCGGGTCACTATCTTTGTGGTGGTCTTTAAACCTTCCAGATTTTTACTTCCAAGGAGGGAACAAAGACCCCTCCTCTGCAGGAGAGGCAGAACAGGACCGTCACAAGAGCATGGATCTTGCCCTTGAATGCCCAGGTTCTGAGCCCTGCGGCCAGCAGCCAGGCCTGCCAGGCCAGGAGCCGAGCCTGGACCTGGTGTCCTCCTGCCCTCCAGCTGGCCACCTGCAGCAGCACTACCTTTCCTTTCTTCAGGGCAGTGTAGATGTCCTTGTACTGCTGGTACTTCTCCAGCTCTGCCTTCACCAGCACCTGGCGGATGTGCATCACCTCCTCCACCGTCAGGGCGAGGCATTCCACGGGGAAGCAGAACTCCTCCTGAAATTCAGGGTGCCAGTGAGCAGGAGCTCCCACCCACCCAGCATTGCAAGATCCCCTTCCGATCAGACACCTTGTTAGTAGCATCAGAGAGGAAAAGAGGTTTCCCATGATCACTGGGACAGAGCTGGCTTGCTCTGGGGACCACAAAGTTCCAAGTGCACTGAGACTATAGGTGGCTGACGGGACCATGCAAAGCCCTGGAGCCACGGAAAGGTCCACAGTCAAAGCCTCTCATTTACTCGAGCATTTTGACTCAAGTTATTCTATTCCATCGAGCACAGCTGTGTTTTTATGCTTGAAATCTTCAAATAAATTTTGTTCTTCTAAGCCAATTTTATGTCAGTTTTCTCCTAAAATTAGGCAAGGATACTATTATTTTGGGAGCATTTTATACTAACAGATAAAAGAGCAAATCTGTAACATTGGTCCTATTTTTGTAACTGGTTTGTGGTACCCAGAATAGCCAAAAGATGGTGGTTAGTACTTTATATTACAAGCATTATTTAGTGATCAGTTACATCAGCACACTTGAAAAAAATCCTTGTGAACAGAGGCTGGGAGGCCGGCCTGCAAGGCCACTTCTCTGGGCTGCCCCACAGGCCTCCACGTTTTTTCAACAACTGTGAGCCGCAGTCAGCACCAGGAAGACTGCAGAAACTCCAAAGGCTTTCGTCTCCTGTTAACAGTCTCCCTGCAATCAGCACGGAAGATGCTGATGTAACCGATCCCTCCGCTCTCCATCCGGCCCTGCTTGATTGGCGGATCTAAGGGAAAGACGGACTGGTCTGGGGCACTGGGCCCTGCCGGGCTTCAAGGGGCCATTGTGGTGCAGTGACACTGAAACTGAATGTCCTCAGGACAGCACATCAGGATTCACTCCCACACAGCCAGCACTGCTCAAGGCATTCTGCAGCCCCAGGAGCCAAGAGAGCTGTGCCTGAATGCAGTCAGTTTACAGAGTACTAGCCTCCGGTTCGGTCTTTCAAATCAGAGAGGAACAAAAGTAAATCTAGGTTACAAACTTGACAAACATTAGCATTTACTAAAAAAAGTACTTTGAGAACTACTGCTTCCTACTAAAACTCAATACAAAATCATCTCTGTTCAAGCAAACTTAAGAAAGATTAAATCAGCTTAAAAATGCTTTGGAAAAAGCCCTCGATTGAATTTTTAATGTGAGGAGCTCATTAGTATTTGGAGGGCATGGTTTGTTCAGAAAACACTGCATCATTTGCTCAAAGATGCCCAAAACGCTCATTAGGGGGGAAAAAAAATCACCCTTCAGAGTTTTCTTTCTCTGAGAGCAGCTCACAGAGACGATAGGATAAAATGGACATGTTCAATTATCCACTGTGGTTCGCTCTGCCCTGGGAAGAGAGTGGGGCCAAGTGGGAACAGTGAGTGCCTTTGAAGGTCAGGCATTGAAACTGCAGTAAACAAGCAGAGCTGGTTCGACACAGCTAGCGGTGGCCCTACTCGGCTTCATCATATTTCAGAAGTTTTCTGCAGTCATTCCTATTCATCAGTGGTGAGCGTGAGCATGGGACCTCGCTGCTGGCTGAGTCTATGATAAATTTGCTAAGCTACAGCAAAATAATGTGTGGATCTAGTAAGTAACCGGGTAGTCACTCCTAAGTCTGTCCCCTAGCACAGTGCCACATAACACTCATCCCTGTGCAGGAAGACACTCAGCAGTGCCAGTTTCATTGACTTCACAACCAGCATACCTGGGCTACTACACATTTCAGGTAGACAGCAACTCCTTTTTATTTGTGGTGACATGGTACCACACACAATTCACCTGACAGCTTGTGTTGCCCTCTCTTTAATCATAAAAGGGCTTAGTCAAGTGTACCTTCGACTTCCTGCTTTGAACCATCTGCAAATCCAGTGCTTCATATGAATCATAGATTTCTGTTTCTTTTTTTTTTTCTTTTTTATTTCAAGCAGACTACCCTTCGGTAAAATAATATCTATCAGGTAAAATGCTAATGTTTTAATTCTGGAGCCTTCCCAAGGACAACAAAACTTTAATGCAACACGAAATAAAATGACAGATAGTTACTAGAAAAGTTCCCCACCCCCCAATTGAGAGAAACAGTAATTTGACATACCCAACATCAAATTAAACTTTACAGACCTTGCTGAGCGGCTACTGCTCCAAAATGTGAAGAGCAGCAGGGGTTTAAGGGTGAGAGAGAGCTGCCCATAGGGATATTGCTTTGTCACTCCTGCAGGGGGCATTGAGCTCACTTGATGGCTAGATGTGGGCAAGTGGATAAGGGCTGGAGCCAGCACCATTCTGTCCCCTTACTTCTCTGTACTTCAACATGACCCTCAAATTTAGGAAAGTCCAATAATCTACTACACGGACAGACATGCCTCAGAACTTAACCTGTGTGCATGTCATTAAGATCGCAAAACTTTTATTGAATATTCTTGTCCTATTTAACTATACGAAAGGGGGCAAAGTTAGGCAGCAGAGATCAGAGTGTAAAACTCTAGTTACTGAGCCACAGAAATGGGAAGAGACTTCTTTTCTATAATGTTCTTGATTAGCAAAAACGTCACACATAAGTAGCAGATACCTGAAAACTATCCAAAATAACCACCAATTTTCAAGCTTTTATATATCAAAGGGAGGCAACTTTAAATAAATAAGAATAGCAACTATTAAGTTTAGTTAGGCTAACCATTTTTAGAATTAAACCATAAAGGCCAGAGTGAATCCTCGTGTTGCCTAAAGCACTACCTGGTTTTTGTGCGGGGATCTCTCTGTTGGGAGGCTGGTCATAAAATGCTGACTGGCAGGATTGGGAGGCACTGAAGGCCACCCTGCACCTGACCATACTCTGCCCAAACCAGGTCTAAAATAGAAAAAGGCTGAGATCTGACAAGAGGAAAGTGTGCATTCACATTTGAGGTCTCTTTTCTATTCCAAGACGAGTAATAAAAAAATAGCAGCTGCTGGGTCACCCTGAGGGGGAGCCTTGAGAAGCCAGGACCTGGGGGTTCAGTGGCACCTGCTCTTGCTGCTGTCTTTAAATTATGAAGGCTCAAATACCAGTAAAATGTGTCCTTCTGTGAGAAAAAGCTCCAAAAAAAAAATGCAATGACATGCAGATTTAAAAATTTTAAAATAACCACATCAATACAAAGAAAGTGAAAGTCTCTCTCCACAGGGAAGCACCACCCTGCCCACCACAGTGCAGCTTATGACAGGTGCCGCCCCAGGTGGCCGCAACACCTTCACAGTGGGCGGAGCCCCAGCGCTGCCTGGGAATGGGAGGCTGCTGAGCCCCCCCAGGTCCTGAGCAAACTCTTCTGGCTGCAGGGGAGGCCCCTGGAGGAATGCAGCTGGGACCTCCCAGGAAGGGGCACTGCCCCTGCCAAAGACTTGCTCCAAGAGAAAAATGTCCAATAGGCTCTCTAATCCCTGCTGCATTTTGAGTTTGTTGTCCTTTCCCCTCTGGAATGAGATCATGGCACGACCTACGCATCCTACACAAGCTTGGAATCAAGGACCAGAAGCAAAGTGCCCAGGCTGTTAATTCTTGCGGAGGACAGGAGCTGAGGCATCACCCTCAGAGAAATGGAAATTCCCACACCGGCAGAGAGAGGCCAACCTTGGAGGAGGTCCACCTGCTGGTAAAAGCTCTCTCACACAGATAGTACACAGCCCCTGCCACCCCAAACACAGCCGCTTCAAGAGGATGGGAGCTGAGAAGAGAAGCTGTGTGTAGGGTAGAGAAAAGCGGCCGGAAAGGTGTCCGGGGCCACGCGCTGCTCATCCCAGGAACCTGAACAACAGAAGGGAGAAGACAGTGGCAGGGATGACAGGAGAAATGATACACCACCGAACCTAAAAAACAGCAGCTGCAGATCATGAAAGAAAAACAAAACAAGAAGCACCAGAGGATGGTGGTGAGGTCCCCGCTGACGCCTGCGCACATAGGCCTATGGCCAGGAACCAGCCAAGAGCTGGGTGGAGGTTTTCAGCTCACACGGCAAAGCCGTGAAAAGGGTTTTCCTAACTGGGTGGTCCTGTGAGCACTGAGTCTCCCACATGGGGCTTGTGGGGATGCAGGACAGGCCACCGCTTCCTCTGCCAAGAAAGCCCTGGAGTGAACACAAGGCACACAGCCACCCACTCAAGAAGGTCCTGAAAGACTCTCTCCTTTCACCTGGATGGGCAACCGCCCCTAGTCACTGGACCAAATGATGGGAAAATGACACCTGAACCTCCTGTGGGAAGGGAGGAAGTACGATAAAGTAAAACTATCAATGCCAGAGCATTCCGGCCACTTCCAGCCGAGGGCTTCACACACACAGTGATTCCTTGTTTTCTAAAATGCAGACACAATTTTAAACTGATGACCATACTTTGAGAAAAGGTCCCAATCAAGCTAGAGTGAACTGCTACAGAAGTATGATTCTGTGGATTTCCCAAGATAAGCTGCTAGTGGGAAGTCTCTGCCTGGAGCTGGAAGTTCCTCTGCCTTAGCTGGTGGACCAGGAGGGGCCGAGGATGTCCTCCAGGCTGCACATGCCCTCCCTGTCCTCCAACCTGCATGCCCTCTGCGTCAGCAGAGCTACTCTCCTGCTGCCTGTCCCTCAGGCCCTTCTCAGTGCCTGCAAAAGAAGTTTGTCTTGATCTCCTTCTTACCCTCAAAGGAACAGCCCACAGCAAGACCAAGTACACAGGAGCCCTTGTTGGGCTGAGGGTCCTGGTACTTCTCTTATTAGGTGGAACTACTTTTAGTTGCTCTGTAATTCCTTTAGTTTGAGTCTAACCCCAGGGCAAAGAAAAGAATATCCTAATTATCAGACCAGCCAAACATCCCAGAGAACTCCTGCTTATGTGTTTAGGTTGTGACAATAACTGATCATGTTACTGAGAGTCTGGACTTCATTTATTTTTTGGTACCAGGGATTGAACCCAAGAGTGTTCAACTACTAAGCCATGTTCCCAGCGCCACCCCTCCCCCTTTTATTGTTTTTAATTTTGAGAAAGGGTCTTGCTAAGTTGCACAGGGCCTTGCTAAGCTGCTGAGGCTGGCCTTGAACTTGCCATCCTCCTGCCTCAGCCGCAGAGCCACCGAGATTACACCCCTGCACTTGGCAAAAGTCTGGATTTAAGGTTTGAATTATGGCCAGAGTTCTGCTTCTCTGCTGAGGAGCACAGCAAGGCTACATCTGATCCAACAGCAGTGCTTCGTGCTTATTTGGAGGTTAGGGGAGCCTCCTGAGGAATAACCATAACATCGTTTGTTCTTTCACTGCATTGTTTGAAAATAGAGAAGACTGATTCCACTTCAGCTTTCATGTCAGCTCTCAGCTCTGCTCAAACTCCCTGTGTTCACAATGACCACTCTCCCCCCTACCCTGAGGGACATCTGCTGCTGCTTCACTGAAAACTTTCACGTCCATCACAGCCCCAAAGTGGGGGTAAGGATATGGTGGTGATTTTTATTCTGAGTACTTGGAAAAACATTAGATATTAGGTTGTGGGTAGAAAACTGAAGTCTTACATGCCACCCCATGTAAGGGGGCTAAAAAGAATCTACACAGGCCTCCTTTGGCTGGCTGATCTATTAATTTTTCCTGGCAGGCACTAACATGCTGTCCCATGTCCTGAGAAGTGAGTAGCCACTATGTGAACCAGATAATCAGGCAGACATGGTGGTGCACACTTGCAATGCCAGCTACTTGGGGGTCAGAGGCAGGAGGATCTCAAGTTTAACACCAGCCTGGGCAACACAGTGAGACCCTGTCTCAAAATAAAAATCAGAAGGCCCAGAGATGTAGCTCAGAGATAGAGCACACTTGGGTTGGATCCCCGGTCATACAACCGAAACAAACAAACCTGGATGCTCTGGAAAATAGCAGAAACTGTTAACCAATCCAAATAGCAGCTTTGGCCCAATATCACAGAACATACTAGAAAACAATGTACAATGGTTATACATGGGTCAAAATTCTCCTAGCCCTTCTGTTCCAATACAATCCTCTACTGTGGTCAGATTTTGCTAAGAATTTTTAGATTAGCCTTTAACAATTTTAAATGAATTAATGTCCTTTGAAAGAAAGCATTTCCTTAGTAATAATACACTGATAAATATTCTGGGGATTTCACTCAGGTTGGCGCCTATTTTCTTCACATACAGAGTAAGTTACTTGGAATTCACTTTAACCTTTGGGAAGTTTTTCTCCTTATCATTTTGGAAGAAAGCCACTGACTCCAGGTCTCTGGGGGGCTGGGAGCCGGTACTCACCAGGGAGCGGGAGCTCTGCCGGGTTGGGGGCAGGAACTGCCTCACATTGGTGGGCGTCTCCTTCTCGATGGAGTGCCGGCGCTGGGGCGGCTGCCGCCGCTCGGGCTGTGGGGTGGACGACATGGGCAGGAACTCTGGGGGCTCTGCAGGCGAACCCAACAAAGGACTCTCTTACAGAACAGAAATCTTAGGCCTTGACTTTCCGACGGAGAGCCCAGTCAATGTGATAGCACCGCGTTCCAGGAGAGACTGCAGGCCAGTGGTGGCCAGATTAAGGGGGACCCCAAGGGACTCCCAGCCAAGTGGCAAGGAGAAGGAAAACCTGTTCTGAACACTCCGTCAAATTCACATGAGGAAGCACAGCACAGCACACTCCTGGATCTAGTCTTACAATTCACATCTCCGGCATTATTTTAAAAACATGCAAAAATATATATTCTGTATAGCCAAAAAAGCTCCCAAACCATCCCAGAATTCTTAAGTGCATCCTCTTTCTTTTTACATTCTCCCTTATAAAGATAGAATATGAAAACCTTTTGTACTACATGTTTATTCAGATATTTTATTCTTAGGTTTAAATTTTATTTAAATTGCAAACAAAAAACAAAAAAAATTAGGCTTGATGTTAACATTGTAGCCTCTGCTCCTCTGCCTAGTAGTATTTTGGGAAAGGGCGTGAAAGAACTTTTCAAGTCTGAATGGTGCTGGATTCACCCTTTGAAAGCACAAGGAGAACATTAGAAATAAATCATCCTGACAGTCTGATTGAGTACCCCCTCCTGCTCTACTGCAAAGGAGGGCCGCTTCAGCCAGTGGGTGGATCAGCAGGGCCAAAAGAGTCAAAGGAGACCCACCAACTTGCACTGTCCCCTTATGAGACAGCAGTCGAGAAAGATGCAGAAATCCCTCCTGTGGCTGAACTGGGTCCCTTATGCTGGGCCTCACCAAATACTAATTACACATAGAAACCCAAACCACTTCCTGATTTTTTTTTAAAATAATCTTTTTAAGTAACTGAAATGATATGTAAAGAATTTTAACCACTAAGCTCTCTGGTATACAAGAAGTCAAAAGACTCTTAATATGTAATTAGCTTTCAGTTCTTTATAATAATCTTATGGGTAAAAGATTACTAAAAGCCTTTAGAAATCAATACCTTCATTTAGGTACCTGTGTTCCGAATCTACTGCCTGTAGATTCTATGTTCAGAATCTACTAAATTCTCCTATGATATCTTCTGGAAGCCCGTTCACGTGCATGAATGAAGGTGGGTGTGTGTGTGTGTGTGTGTGTGTGTGTCCCAGAAGGGACAAATATCATTATTTAGGGCTTACTGCTCAAATTCAGATGAGGTAATTAATCTAAGACAGGCACACCCCTCGAGGACTTACTTCCGACATTATCTGTCACACTCAAACGTGCCCCACCTGCTCCACATTAGAACTGAGGCCAGCGACCAGGGCAGCTAAGAAAGTAGCCAGGTGTTCCTGCTTGTGATGGTGAGACTCAGGGTTGGGGCTTTACATCCCGAAGGTCACAGGGAGCTCTGGGCTCCTTAGTCTGGGCCATGTGTGCCCTGGGTACTCACTCTTCCTCACGCACGTGGCCTCCAGCGCTGGGTCCTCGAGGAAGGAGGGAGATGCACTGCTGCCGCTGGACGACCTGGGCAGAGTCTCCTCCTGAGGAAGGGAGAGGTCCTGCCCGTCAGCACTCCCAGGCTGCTAAGAACACACGACTCCCAACGGCTCCACATCACAACTCAAAGGTTCAAAGCAGGGAAGACACCCAGAGGGCCTGAGTTAGACAGCTCTGGGTGTGTGTCCCAGGTCGGGCCCACTGAGTGGCATGGGGCAAATATTTCAGCTCCACCACTGGTGAGGGGGCATGACACCTCTTTTCCACAATGTTACTGGAAGGACTGAAAGGCACACTCAAGAATATCGAACCCAAGTACTCGATGGTGAGCCCCATGGGCAGATGCTGGGTCGTCCTGCTCACTGCTGTGTGCTTAGTAGCAAACTCATGACTTAGTAATAATAATGAGTAAATATTAGCTGAAGGAATGGATGAAAGTAAACATTTACCGAGCGTCATAAGTCTAGAAAAATGCCTACGGTGCACCAAGTAAAATTCAAATTCCTGTTACCACTGAGAAGGGACCTTAATTGGCTTTAATGCAAACCTTAATAAGGTACCATATTTATCCAAGAAATATTTTCTACTTTGTGACAGAAAATACACATTAACTAAAAAACAACTAAATTTCACTATAATATCTATGAACTACCACTAAATATTTTAAATACAGAAGGAAGAATATTAGGTAAATCTGCTCATCCATGACTTTGTGAGGTAGTGAAAATTCCCTTTGACCTTCCCAGCTCAGGTGACTTTAAGAATTAGTCAGTTACCAAACAGGGGCCTCCCCTGAAACTTCATGCTGAAATCATCAGTTTCAACTTAGTTACAAGGCAAAAAATCTGGTCCAAGATCAGGAGAAGGAGAAAGGCCACAAAGGGAGGCAGAGAGCACCTGCAGGTTTTAGCAGTGTTTTCCCCATTCCTGGGACAGGCCAGGAAGAGCAGCCAAACAGTGAAGGTTACACCCCATCCACATGTGCCACAGGCCACAGCAACCGGGACATGCAGCCAGCCTTCAAAGAGGACTCCTGCTTATGGAGCTCAAAACAGCCAAAAGCACGTCATAGGAAAAGAAAAAAAGGAGCGAGGAGCAGCACCTCCCTGCAATGTCCTGCACAAGACTACACGATGGAGGCCTGGAGAACCCTCCCTGGCCCCACGCACTCCCGCCCACCTTCCGCAGGAATTTTTCTGCAGTAGTGGGAATTGTTCCTTTCCAAGCCCTTTTTATTTTCATTTCTAAATTTTGATACAGGGTGTTGATAAATTGCTGAAGATGGCCTCGAACTTGGAATCCTCCTGTCTCAGCCTCTGGAGCAGCTGGTATGACAGGCTTGCGCTGCTGTGCCCAGCTAACAATGTGTTTGAAGTCCAATTTTACATGCTGTTACCTCGGTTAGTGTCAAGAGAGAAACAGATCACATTTCTTTATTTACAGGCAGAACCTAATTATAAAGCCAAACTTTGTCTCTTGAAGATATTACCATCCTTATTTTTTAAAGAAAACTGGGGGGAGGGGGGAGCTTTCTAAATAAAGACTGTCAGAGTGAAGTCTTTTTTAAGCAAGCAAAGAGATCAATAGTCTTATTACCATAAATGCTAAAATTTCAAAGAAAACTAACCAATGTGAGAAAGTGGGGGAAGTGGGCTCACTGCCTGCAATGGCCCCCTTCGGCTTGGCCCCTCCTCCACTGTTCTGTATTGAAGGAGAAGAGCTGTGGAGGGGTCTCTGTGGAGGGGGGTTCTTTTTCTTTTTTCTTTCCACACTTTTTATTGGTGCATTATAGTTGTACATAATGATGGGATCTGTTGTTACATGCACACAATGTAACCACACAGTTTGGCCAATACTCTGCCCAGCACTTCCACGTGTGTGTGTGTGTGTGGGGGGGGGACTCCTTTTCTTTCCTTCATACCTAATTCTAGGTGAAGTCCTATAAAACCTCACAGCCAGCTTTCCCTACCATTGCTCCCAATCTTTAAAACAGCTACTCAATATCTGATAGTCTTGAAAGCACTTTAAGGAAGCAAAATAAAGTTAATCAGGAGCCTTCGTGGTACCCTAGAGCGCCAGCTCTGCTCCAGGAAGTCAGCAGGGCAGGGCAAGATCCACCCCTTTCCTAACCATCCGGAGTGAGGGGCTGGAGGAATACCCTTCACTGCCCCTAGCAGGTCAGAGTGTCAACTCAAAGTAAGCATCTTTCCTGAATTCTACTTTTCAAAGTAATACTAAAAATGTGCAGATATGGTTCTAGGGGAATAAATATTTCAGTTCAGGTAAATTTAAAGGTAACATTCTGATTTTTTCCTTAATAATGCTTGATACTTTTCTTTCACTTTTGTAGACACAAGGAAGATAAGAGTGAGAAAGGAGCACATTCAGAGCAGGATCTGTGCTACTCAGAAGCTGCATTCTCTATTTAAAATGCATTCGCTCAAAATTAAAGAGCAACACAAGAAAACTGCATGCATAATGTATTCATTTTTAAGTGTTTTTGCAAAAAGGAAATAACCAAGGTTTGGTGATAGAATCTGATGTCCTCATTATGGACATATAATAAATTAAAATGTTAGAATTCTTAACCTCTTGCAATGCTAGGGATAGAACACAGGGCCTTGGGTATGCTAGGAAGTGCTATACTACTGAGCTACATCCCAGTCCTTAAAAAGGATTGTTTTAAATTTAAATGGCTCCCCAGAAGTTGCTGATGGTCCTCTATTCCCCTTCCCCCATATGCCCATGACAAGAAGCTGCACTCAAACTTCTGACTGCTTGACAACTAACCTTCTTCAGGATAAGCTACTGCTTCAGGGGGCCACCAAAGCCCAAGGTCCCAGGCTAGACTTTGGGAGCAGGAGCTGTGCATGTGGGCATGTGTGTGCACCTGCTTGTGGTTGTCCCATGTCTGTTTCTGTTGAGTAGCCAAACCTGCTGCCTGTCTCTGCCTGTCTGAGGGGTTCTGATGGGTCTCTGGCATCTCTAGAACACCAGTCTCCTCTGCCTGGCCTGCTTTCTTCAGTCAGCTTGAGTTGCTGATCCCAGGGACTCATCTGACACTCAGGTCTTCTCTAGTTCAGAACTTCACTGTAAGACAGCCTACGGCATGGCTCTGCTCCTAGGGTGGCACTGATCCTGCCTGTGACTCCCTAACTCACGGTTGCAGGAATGAAAATCTTCCTTTTCCTGGAAAAAGGCCCAGAGCATCTTTGCTTAGCTTTCTCACTGCAATTCTGGTACAGCAACAATCGAACCTTTGAGGAGAGTTGTCAACATAGGTTAGCAGCAGTTATCAGAGCTAAACCAGAGACCCCACAGCTCCATTTCAAGGAACTGATGCAAGGCCTGGCAGGGAGGTGGAATTAAACGGAAGTTCACTAAAATTGTGCATGGCTTTTGTGACTGGTCTCTACCTTCATCAAAGGCTGTTTTCTCATGGAAAAGTAACGATGTTGGACAAAACTTCTTAGACCCCTTCCAGTTAAAAAAAAAACTTGTTTTAAATTCAGGCCTTCGCACACACTGCTGTTGGAACACTAGCAAGTTCATGTGGTACATGGACTTTGGAGTTATGTTTCAAATCCCTGAACTTGGGCAACCACTCTGTTTCTGGTTTTTTAAAAGTAAAAGGTGAGAGATTTATATGATCTGAAAAGGAAACATATATCCCTTTCTTTTTTGCAATATCAGGGATTGAATCCAGGGGTGCTCTACCACTGGGCTACATGCCCAGTCCTTTTTATTTTTTTGATTTTAACACAGGGTTTCATTAAGTTGAGTAGGGTGATATTCAACTAGCAATCCTCCTGCCTCAGCCTCCTGGTCGCTGGGATTACAGGCAAGTGCCACCATGCCTGAGTCCTTATTTCTTAAATAAGGATTAAGTTACTTAATAAGGTCTTTGTGAAGATGAGTTAATTGATATCTAAAATCTAGCTTAGAGTTAGCACAATAGATAGTGGCTATTAGAAAGGAAGGGGAGGTACTAGGGAACGAAACTGACTAAACTATGTTATGTACATGCACACACATACCACAATGATCCCCCCCCCCCGCTTTTTTTTTGTACCAGGGATTGAACTCAGTGGCACATAAACACTGAGCCACATCCCCAGCCCTTTTTTGTATTTTATTTAGAGACAGGATCTCACTGAGTTACTTAGCACCTCACTAAATTGCTAAGGCTGGCTTTGAACTTGCTGTCTTCCGGCCTCAGCCTTCTGAGCTGCTAGGATAAATAGGCATGTGCCACCACGTCCGGCTTGATTCCCAGTTTATGTATAATTATAATGTACCAATAAAGAAAGGTTAAAAAAGGAAACACAACCTTTTAAAACCAAAAAAAAAGTTGATATAATTTCCTTTAAGGAAACTGAAAATATGTAAGCTATTAAAGTGTATATTTTCATCTCCCAAATGTAGTTCTAGAAATATTCTGAAATAATATAAAAATGTAACATAAGAACGTTCACTATAATGTTGTTACTTATAATAGCAGAAAATCAGTGCTAATCTAAATGTTCTAAAATGGGGGACATGGCAAATGCTAATGATGGCATACCACTGGACATCGTAATAGCATTGTGTTTGAAAAGGACATTTAATCAGATGGTAAAATGCTCATGGTATTTTGATAAGCCAAAGACATGGGTTAGCTCTAGTTCTGGCAAAATGGCAGGTTAGACAAGCTACTTCCAAGCCCTAAGAGAGGTGTGAAGCTTCTGGCCACCACCAATGGACAAGTGGTGTCCACTAACAGTGCAAATTCCCAAGTTCAGTGTCAAGGGGGCAGAACCAGTGGGCCATGTCTGACAGCTAGAAACTCCGAAGGCACCAACCCCAACTTGAGCTAATGCTTCCTGTGATTGCAATTTGAACAGATAAAGCTACTGGGTAAGTACAAGAGAAAAAAGATTGGTTTGCCACTACTGCAAATGGATCTCTTACTTAATGAAAAAAAAATTGATTTTCCTTGATTAAATCACAAACTTTGGACTTTAAGAAAACGAAAAGACAAGTCAGTGTCTCACAGTTCTTTAAGTGATTAAGAGAACAGTTTTCTTTCTGCATAAAACAGTGAAGTTATCATTGATGTGCAAATAATTAATATTCTAGTTCACCAGACCATTTAATCAATAATAACATAGTAACTGATTACAAGGAACTTCAGAACAAAATAAGAATTACTTAAACAGTAAACTGTCCTTTGTGATCCTACAGACATAAGTTAGCCTCACAATCAGCAATGAGGAAACTGCTGGTGGGTGATGTCATCAACTGAAAACTGCCTCTCTAGGTGACATCCTAGACATTCAAAAGAACGTCAAGTCTCCCAGAGAAAGACACAACCATGATCAGAGTTCCCTGAGCAGGAGGTGTCCTAGTGGCCTTAAAACGGCAGGACAAAAGCTCTCTGTGGGGTAGCTGAGAAGGGCATTCATATTCAGGACAAGGTGCTTGGTTTGCAGTGTTGCTGCTTCTCCTCCAGCCATTTCCAGGGCTGCAGGATATGGGGTGGCAAACAGGTAGGGGGCAGAAGTGCAGTGCAGGCCACATGCTGTCACTTTTGGCACAAACACTTCCCTTAGGAGGGAAGATGAACTTCATGGTGCCCTACAAGGCCCTCAGCGAGGCCAGGAAGATGGACAGTGAAGGTGGAAAGACTCTGGCCTCCACCTCCATTTCTAGTCACAGACACAGCAGCTTTCTGTAACTCTGGGGTAAG